GGCGGCCGAGAGCGCCGCGAAGGGAGCGAGCGCGGCCAGGATGGACTCCAGGCTGCTCTGCGGGTGCAGGTTCCGCAGGATGATGGCTGGGGGCACACGGGCACACCTGGGCACACCTGGGGGCACCTGGGGGCACACCTGGGCACACCTGGGGATACCTGGGGGCACCTGGGCACACCTGGGGGCACCTGGGGGCACACCTGGGCACACCTGGGCACACCTGGGGGCACCTGGGCACACCTGGGGGCACCTGGGCATACCTGGGGGCACTTAGGGATACCTGAAGATACCTGGGAGCACACCTGGGGCACCTGGGCACACCTGGGGGCACACCTGGGCACACCCTGGGGCACCTGGGCACACCTGCCAAAGGGAGCGAGCGCGGCCAGGATGGACTCCAGGCTGCTCTGCGGGTGCAGGTTCCGCAGGATGATGGCTGGGGGCACACACGGGCACACCTGGGGCACCTGGGCACACCTGGGGGCACCTGGGGGCACACCTGGGCACACCTGGGGATACCTGGGGGCACCTGGGCACACCTGGGGGCACCTGGGGGCACACCTGGGCACACCTGGGCACACCTGGGGGCACCTGGGCACACCTGGGGGCACCTGGGCATACCTGGGGGCACTTAGGGATACCTGAAGATACCTGGGAGCACACCTGGGGCACCTGGGCACACCTGGGGGCACACCTGGGCACACCCTGGGGCACCTGGGCACACCTGCCAAAGGGAGCGAGCGCGGCCAGGATGGACTCCAGGCTGCTCTGCGGGTGCAGGTTCCGCAGGATGATGGCTGGGGGCACAGCACGGGCACACCTGGGGCACCTGGGGCACCTCCAGATACCCAGAAATACCTGGGGGCACACCTGGGGGCACCTGGGCACACCTGAGGATATTTCAGGATACCTGGGGGCACACCTGGGGGCACCTGGGGGCACCTGGGCACACCTGGGGGCACACCTGGGGCACCTGGGGGCACCTGGGGGCACCTAGGGGTGCCTGGAGATACCTGGGGGCACACCTGGGCACACCTGGAGCTATCTGGGGGCACACCTGGGCACACCTGGGGGCACACCTGGGGGCACCTACAGATACCTGGGGGCACACCTGGGGGCACCTGGGGGCACCTGGAGATACCTGGGGGCACACCTGGGGGCACCTGGGGATACCTGGAGATACCTGGGGGCACCTGGGGGCACCTGGATATACCTGGGGGCACCTGGAGATACCTGGGGGCACACCTGGGCACACCTGGGCACACCTGGGGGCACCTAGGGATACCTGGAGATACCTAGGGGCACACCTGGGCACAACTGGGGGCACCTGGAGATACCTGGGGGCACACCTGGGGGCACCTGGGGGCACCTGGGCACATCTGGGGGCACACCCAGGCACACCTGCCAAAGGGAGCGAGCGCGGCCAGGATGGACTCCAGGCTGCTCTGCGGGTGCAGGTTCCGCAGGATGATGGCTGGGGGACACACGGACACACCTGGGGCACACCTGGGGGCACCTGGGTACACCTGGGGGCACCTGGGGCACCTGGGGGTGCCTGGGGGCACCTACAGATACCTGGGGGCACACCTGGGCACACCTGGGCACACCTGGGCACACCTGGGGATACCTGGGGGCACCTGAACACACCTGGGGATATCTCAGGATACCTGGGGGCACATCTGGGGGCACCTGGGCACACCTGGGCACACCTGGGCACACCTGGGGATACCTGGGGCACACCTGGGGGCACCTGGGCACACCTGGGCACACCTGGGGGCACCTGGGCACACCTGCCAAAGGGAGCGAGCGCGGCCAGGATGGACTCCAGGCTGCTCTGCGGGTGCAGGTTCCGCAGGATGATGGCTGGGGGCACACGGGCACACCTGGGGCACCTGGGGGCACCTGGGTACACCTGGGGGCACCTCCAGATACCCAGAAATACCTGGGGGCACACCTGGGGGCACCTGGGGGCACCTCGGCACATCTGGGGGCACCTAGGGGTGCCTGGATATACCTGGGGGCACACCTGGGGGCACCTGGGGCACCTGGGGGCACCTGGGCACACCTCCAGATACCTGGAGATACCTGGGGGCACACCTGGGGGCACACCTGGGCACACCTGGGGGCACCTGGGGGCACCTGGAGATGCCTGGGGGCACACCTGGGCACACCTGGGGGCACCTGGGGGCACCTGGAGATACCTGCGGGCACCTGGAGATACCTGGGGGCACCTAGGGATACCTGGGGGCACACCTGGGGGTGCCTGGAGATACCTGGGGGCACCTGGAGATACCTGGGGGCACCTGGGCACACCTACAGATACCTGGAGATACATGGGGGCACACCTGGGCACACCTGGGCACACCTGGGGGCACCTAGGGATACCTGGAGATACCTGGGGGCACATCTGGGGCACACCTGGGCACACCTGGAGGCACCTAGGGATACCTGGAGATACCTGGAGATACCTGGGGGCACACCTGGGCACACCTGGGCACACCTACAGATACCTGGGGGCACACCCGGGCACACCTGCCAAAGGGAGCGAGCGCGGCCAGGATGGACTCCAGGCTGCTCTGGGGGTGCAGGTTCCGCAGGATGATGGCTGGGGGGCACAGCAGGGGCACACCTGGGGCACCTGGGCACACCTGGGCACACCTGGGCACACCTGGGGGCACCTGGGGGCACCTGGGCACACCTGGGGGCACCTGGGGGCACCTGGGCACACCTGGGGGCACCTGGGCACACCTGGGGGCACCTGGAGATACCTGGGGGCACACCTCGGGGCACCTGCGGGCACCTGGGGGCACACCTACAGATACCTGGAGATACCTGGGGGCACACCTGGGGGCACCTGGAGGAACCTGAAGATACCTGGGAGCACACCTGGGGGCACCTGGGAGCACACCTGGGCACACCTCGGGGCACCTGGGGGCACCTGGGGGCACCTGGAGATACCTGGGGGCACCTGGAGATACCTGAGGATATTTCAGGATACCTGGGGGCACACCTGGGGGCACCTGGGCACACCTGGGGGCACCTGGGCACACCTGGGGGCACACCTGGGGGCACCTGGGCACACCTGGGGGCACCTGGAGATACCTGGGGGCACACCTGGGGGCACACCTGGGGCACCTGGGGGCACCTGGGCACACTTGGGGATATTTCAGGATACCTGGGGGCACACCTGGGGGCACCCGGGCACACCTGCCAAAGGGAGCGAGCGCGGCCAGGATGGACTCCAGGCTGCTCTGGGGGTGCAGGTTCCGCAGGATGATGGCTGGGGGACACGGGCACACCTGGGGCACCTGGGGGCACACCTGGGGGCACCTGGGGGCACCTGGGGGCACCTAGGGGTGCCTGGAGATACCTGGGGGCACACCTGGTGGCACCTGGGCACACCTGGGGGCACCTGGGGGCACCTAGGGATACCTTAAGATACCTGGGGGCACCTGAAGATACCTTGGGGCACACCTGGGGGCATCTGGGGGCACCAACAGATACCTGGAAATACCCGGGGGCACACCTGGGAATACCTGGGGGCACCTGAACACACCTGAGGATATTTCAGGATACCTGGGGGCACACCTGGGGGCACCTGGGCACACCTGGGGGCACCTGGAGATACCTGGGGGCACCTGGAGATACCTGGGGGCACCTGGGGGCACCTGGGGGTACCTGGGCACACCTGGGGGCACACCTGGGGGCACCTGGGGGCACCTGGGCACACCTGGGGGCACACCTGGGGGTGCCTGGAGATACCTGGAGATACCTGGGGGCACGCCTGGGGGCACCTGGGCACACCTGGGCACACCTGGGGGCACCTGGGGGCACCTAGGGATACCTGGAGATACCTGGGGGCACACCTGGGGGCACCTGGGGGCACCTACAGATACCTGGAGATACCTGGGAGCACCTGGAGATACCTGGGGGCACACCTGGGGGCACCTGAACACACCTGAGGATATTTCAGGATACCTGGGGGCACACCTGGGGGCACCTGGAGATACCTGGGGGCACACCTGGGGGCACCTGGGGGCACCTCCAGATACCCAGAAATACCTGGGGCACACCTGGGGGCACTTGGGCATACCTGGGGATACCTGGGCACATCTGGGCACACCTGAACACACCTGGGGACACCTGAATCCCTCCAAGTCCTCCCACAAGATCCCCTTCAGCGCCCCCCAACAAACCACCCAGGACCCCCCAAATGCACCTCAAAATCTCCTATAAAAAAACCCCAAAAATCCCCAAATCCACCCCAAAATCCCCAAAATTTCCCCGGCCCCACACTCACTGTCGTTGGCGTTGTCAGCTCCGGGCTCGGAGCCCCCCTGGGACCCCCCGGGGGGACCCCCGAGGGTGGGCCCGTAGGGTTGGGGGAGGGGCAGGAGCCCCCCTCCCCCCCCCCGGCACCAGCTCCGGCCGGGGACCCCCCGGACCCCTCTGCTCGGCCTCTGCACCCCAAAAAAACCCAAAATCAGGCATTGAACCCACAAAAAACCCCAAAATCATAAACTGAACCCACAAAAAACCCCAAAATCAGGCATTGAACCCACAAAAAAACCCCAAAATCATAAACTGAACCCCCCAAAAAAACCCCAAAATCAGACATTGAACCCATAAAAAACCCCAAAATCGGGCATTGAACCCACAAAAAAACCCCAAAATCAGGCATTGAACCCACAAAAAAAACCCAAAATCAGGCATTGAACCCACAAAAAAACCCAAAATCATAAACTGAACCCCCCAAAAAAACCTCCAAAATCAGGGATGGAACCCACAAAAAAACCCTAAAATCAGAAATTCCACCCCAAAAACAATCTCTCAAAATCAGGGACTGAACCCCCCAAAAAAACCTCCAAAATCGGGGATTGAATCACCCAAAAAAACCCCAAAATCAGGCATTGAACCCACAAAAAAACCCCAAAATCAGGTATTGAACCCACAAAAAAACCCTAAAATTATAAACTGAACCCCAAAAAAACCCCAAAATCAGGCATTGAACCCACAAAAAAAACCCAAAATCATAAACTGAACCCCCCCAAAAAAAAACCCAAAATCATAAACTGAACCCCCCCAAAAAACCCCAAATCATAAACTGAACCCCCAAAAAAAACCCCAAAATCAGGCATTGAACCCACAAAAAACCCTAAAATCATAAACTGAACCCCCCAAAAAAATCTCCAAAATCGGGGAATGAACCCACAAAAAAACTCTAAAATCAGAAATTCCACCCCAAAAACAATCTCTCAAAATCAGGGATTGAACCCACAAAAAACCCTAAAATCATAAACTGAACCCCCAAAAAAACCCCAAATCAGGCACTGAACCCACAAAAAAACCCAAAATCAGGGATGGAACCCACAAAAACCCCTAAAATCATAAACTGAACCCCCCAAAAAAACCCCAAAATCAGGGATTGAACCCACAAAAAAACCCTAAAATCAGAAATTCCACCCCAAAAACAATCTCTCAAAATCAGGGACTGAACCCCCCAAAAAAACCCCAAAATCAGGCATTGAACCCACAAAAAACCCCAAAATCATAAACTGAACCCCCCAAAAAAACCCCAAAATCAGGCAATGAACCCACAAAAACCCCTAAAATCATAAACTGAACCCCCCAAAAAAACCTCCAAAATCGGGGATGGAACCCCCAAAAAAACCCCCAAAAAACCCCCAAAAAACCCTAAATCAGGGATTGAACACTCAAGAAACCCCAAAAAAAAACCTAAAAAACAAAATCAGAGATTGAACCTCCCCCAAAAAAAGATCCCAACCAGGAGAAACCCCCAAAAGACCCCAAAATCAGCGATTAAACCCCAAATCCAGAGGATCCCCTTCATGTTGGAAGGCACCCCAATAATTTTGGGGAGTTTTTGGGCAGTGTAAGATGTTTTTGGGGGGGTTCCCCAGGATTTTTGGGGTGAAACCCCCAAGATTTGGGGTCACTCACCGGCTTTGGGGACGCCACACTTGAAACATTTCTCACGGCGCTTGAAGTTCTGCACCCCGCACTGGGACCCCAAAATTGAACCCCAAAATTGAGCACCCCAAAATGTCACACCCCAAAATTGAGCACCCCAAAATTTAACACCCCAAAATGTCACACCCCAAAATGTCACACCCCAAAATGTCACATCCCAAAATGTCACACCCCAAAATGTCACACCCCAAAATTTAACACCCCAAAATGGAACACCCCAAAATGTCACACCCCAAAATGTCACACCCCAAAATGTCACACCCCAAAATTGAGCACCTCAAAATGTCACATCCCAAAATGTCACATCCCAAAATGTCACACCCCAAAATTGAGCGCCCCAAAATGTCACACCCCAAAATGTCACACCCCAAAATGGAACACCCCAAAATGTCACACCCCAAAATGTCACATCCCAAAATTTAACACCCCAAAATGTCACACCCCAAAATTGAGCACCCCAAAATGTCACACCCCAAAATGTCACATCCCAAAATGTCACACCCCAAAATGTCACACCCCAAAATGTCACACCCCAAAATTGAACACCCCAAAATGTCACATCCCAAAATGTCACATCCCAAAATGTCACACCCCAAAATGTCACACCCCAAAATTGAGCACCCCAAAATTTAACACCCCAAAATGTCACACCCCAAAATGTCACACCCCAAAATGTCACACCCCAAAATGTCACACCCCAAAATGTCACACCCCAAAATGTCACACCCCAAAATGTCACACCCCAAAATGTCACACCCCAAAATTTAACACCCCAAAATATCACACCCCAAAATGTCACACCCCAAAATTTAACACCCCAAAATGTCACACCCCAAAATGTCACACCCCAAAATGTCACATCCCAAAATTTAACACCCCAAAATGTCACACCCCAAAATGTCACATCCCAAAATGTCACACCCCAAAATGTCACACCCCAAAATGTCACACCCCAAAATGTCACACCCCAAAATTGAGCACCCCAAAATTGAGCACCCCAAAATGTCACACCCCAAAATGTCACACCCCAAAATTTAACACCCCAAAATGTCACACCCCAAAATGTCACACCCCAAAATGTCACATCCCAAAATTTAACACCCCAAAATGTCACACCCCAAAATGTCACACCCCAAAATTGAGCACCCCAAAATGTCACACCCCAAAATTTAACACCCCAAAATGAAACACCCCAAAATTTAACACCCCAAAACCGCTCTGGACCCCACAAACCACAGCGCCCCAAAATGTAACACCCCAAAATGTCACACCCCAAAATTGAGCACCCCAAAATGTCACACCCCAAAATGTCACACCCCAAAATTTAACACCCCAAAATGTCACACCCCAAAATTGAGCACCCCAAAATGTCACACCCCAAAATGTCACATCCCAAAATGTCACACCCCAAAATTTAACACCCCAAAATTTAACACCCCAAAATTGAGCACCCCAAAATGTCACACCCCAAAATGTCACACCCCAAAATTTAACACCCCAAAATGTCACACCCCAAAATGTCACACCCCAAAATTGAGCGCCCCAAAATTTAACACCCCAAAATTGAGCACCCCAAAATGTCACATCCCAAAATGTAACACCCCAAAATTGAGCACCCCAAAATGTCACACCCCAAAATTGAGCACCCCAAAATTGAGCACCCCAAAATGGAACACCCCAAAATGTCACACCCCAAAATTTAACACCCCAAAATGTCACACCCCAAAATGTCACACCCCAAAATGGAGCACCCCAAAATGTCACACCCCAAAATGTCACACCCCAAAATTGAGCACCCCAAAATGTCACACCCCAAAATGTCACATCCCAAAATTGAGCACCCCAAAATGTCACATCCCAAAATGTCACACCCCAAAATGTCACACCCCAAAATTGAACCCCAAAATGTCACACCCCAAAATGTCACATCCCAAAATGTCACACCCCAAAATTGAGCACCCCAAAATGTCACACCCCAAAATGTCACACCCCAAAATTTAACACCCCAAAATGTCACACCTCAAAATGTCACACCCCAAAATTTAACACCCCAAAATGTCACACCCCAAAATGTCACACCCCAAAATTTAACACCCCAAAATGGAACACCCCAAAATGTCACACCCCAAAATGTCACACCCCAAAATGTCACACCCCAAAATTGAGCACCCCAAAATTGAGCACCCCAAAATTGAGCACCCCAAAATGTAACACCCCAAAATGTCACACCCCAAAATGTCACACCCCAAAATTTAACACCCCAAAATTTAACACCCCAAAATGTCACACCCCAAAATGGAACACCCCAAAATGTCACACCCCAAAATTGAGCACCCCAAAATTGAGCACCCCAAAATGTCACATCCCAAAATGTCACACCCCAAAATGTCACACCCCAAAATGTCACACCCCAAAATGTCACGCCCCAAAATTTAACACCCCAAAATGTAACACCCCAAAATTTAACACCCTAAAATGTCACACCCCAAAATGTCACATCCCAAAATTGAGCACCCCAAAATGTCACACCCCAAAATTGAGCACCCCAAAATGTCACACCCCAAAATGTCACACCCCAAAATGTCACACCCCAAAATGTCACATCCCAAAATGTCACACCCCAAAATGTCACACCCCAAAATTTAACACCCCAAAATGTCACACCCCAAAATTGAGCACCCCAAAATGTCACACCCCAAAACTGAGCACCCCAAAATTGAGCACCCCAAAATTGAGCACCCCAAAATTTAGAACCCCAAAATGGAACACCCCAAAATGTCACACCCCAAAATTTAACACCCCAAAATTTAACACCCCAAAATGGAACACCCCAAAATGGAACACCCCAAAATTGAGCGCCCCAAAATGTCACACCCCAAAATTGAGCACCCCAAAATGTCACACCCCAAAATGTCACACCCCAAAATGTCACACCCCAAAATGTCACATCCCAAAATGTCACACCCCAAAATTGAGCACCCCAAAATTGAGCACCCCAAAATTGAGCACCCCAAAATTTAACACCCCAAAATGTCACACCCCAAAATGTCACACCCCAAAATTGAGCACCCCAAAATGTCACACCCCAAAATTGAGCACCCCAAAATGTCACACCCCACAATGGAACACCCCAAAATGTCACACCCCAAAATGTCACATCCCAAAATTGAGCACCCCAAAATGTCACACCCCAAAATGTCACACCCCAAAATTGAGCACCCCAAAATTTAACACCCCAAAATGTCACATCCCAAAATTTAACACCCCAAAACCGCTCTGGACCCCACAAACCACAGCACCCCAAAATTCTCCCACCCCAAAACGGCCCCAGACCCCCAAACCCACCCCCGGAGCCCCCCAAAAACCTCTAAACCCCCCCCAGACCCACCCAAAACTCCCCAAGATCCCCCCAAAATCCCTCCAGGACAACCCGAATTACCCCCAGTGCCCCCCAGTAACCCCCAGTGCCCTCCCAGTCCCTCCCAGTAACACCCAGTACCACCCCAGTCCCTCCCAGTGCCCCCCAGTCCCTCCCAGTACAACCCCAGTGCCCTCCCAGTACCCCCCAGTCCCTTCCAGTGCCCCCCAGTCCCTCCCAGTGCCCTCCCAGTACCCTCCCAGTCCATCCCAGTCCCTCCCAGTGCCCCCCAGTCCCTCTCAGTGCCCCCCCCCAGTCCCTCCCAGTGTCCACCAGTGCCCCCCAGTCCCTCCCAGTGCCCCCCAGTCCCTCCCAGTGCCCCCCAGTCCCTCCCAGTGCCCCCCCAGTGCCCCCCAGTCCCTCCCAGTCCCTCCCAGTCCCTCCCAGTCCCTCCCAGTGCCCACCTTGGCACAGAGCCAGTCCTCGTTGATTTTGGGTTTGGGGTCGCTGTAGTGGAGGGACACGCGGTGCCCCAGGAGGGTCAGCCCGGCCTGGGGGGCACAGGGGGGGCACCAGGATGTGAATTTGGGGGGCACCAGGACATGAACCAGCGGGGTACCAGGGGGGCACCAGGACAGGAATCTGGGGGGCACCAGGGCTGGAATTTGGGGACACCTGGGGGGTACCAGGAGGTGAATTTGGGGGCACCAGGGGGGCACCAGGATGTGAATTTGGGGGGCACCAGAATATGAACCAGGAGGGCACCAGGACTGGGATGAAGGGGGCACCAAGACGTGAATTGGGGGGCACCAGGGGGGCACCAGGGGGGCACCAGGACAGGAATCTGGGGGGACACCAGAACATGAACCAGGGGGGCACCAAAGCTGGAACTGGGGGGCACCAGGGGGGCACCAGGATGTAAATTTGGGGGCACCAGGGGGGCACCAAGACGTGAATTTGGGGGGCACCAGGACATGAACCAGGGGGGCACCAGGGCTGGAATTGGGGGGCACCAGGGGGGCACCAGGAGGTGAATCTCAGGGGTACCTGGGGGCACCAGGATGTGAATTTGGGGGCACCAGGGGGGCACCAGGACATGAATTTGGGGGGCACCAGGATGTGAATTTGGGGGCACCTGGGGGGCACCAGGAGGTGAATCTGGGGGGCACCAGGACGTGAATTTGGGGGGCACCAGGACATGAACCAGGGGGACACCAGGATGTGAATTTGGGGGCACCTGGGGGGCACCAGGACACAAATCTGGGGACACCTGGGGGGCACCAGGATGTGAATTTGGGGGCACCTGGGGGGTACCAGGACGTGAATTTGGGGGGCACCTGGGGGGCACCAGGAGGTGAATTTGGGGGGCACCAGGACATGAACCAGGGGGGCACCAGGGGGGCACCAGGACGTGAATCTGGGAGGAACCAGGGGGGCACCAGGACAGGAATTTGGGGGGCACCAGGAGGTGAATTTGGGGGGCACCAAAGCTGGAACTGGGGGGCACCAGTGGGGCACCAGGAGGTGAATTTGGGGGGCACCAGGAGGTGAATTTGGGGGGCACCAGGGGGGCACCAGGAGGTGAATCTCGGGGGCACCAGGATGGGAATTTGGGGGGCACCTGGGGGGCACCAGGACATGAATTTGGGGGCACCTGGGGGGTACCTGGACGTGAATCTGGGGGGCACCAGGATGTGAATTTAGGGGCACCTGGGGGGCACCAGGACAAGAATTTGGGGGCACCTGGGGGGCACCAGGATGGGAATTTGAGGGGCACCAGGGGGGCACCAGGAGGTGAATTTGGGGGGCACCAGGACATGAACCAGGGGGGCACCGGGAATGGAACTGGGGGGCACCAGGAGGTGAATCTGGGGGGCACCAGGGTATAAACTCGGGGGCACCAGGGGGGCACCAGGACTGGGATGAAGGGGGCATGAGGAGGTGAATTTGGGGGGCACCAGAACATGAACCAGGGGGGCACCAGGACTGGAACTGGGGGGCACCAAGACATGAATCTGGGGGGCACCAGGATGTGAATTTGGGGGGCACTTGGGGGGCACCAGGAGGTGAATCTGGGGGGTACCTGGGGGGCACCAGGACATGAATCTGGGGGGCTCCAGGATGTGAATTTGGGGGCACCAGGGGGGCACCAGGATGGGAATTTGGGGGAGCACCAGGACATGAATCTGGGGGGCACCAGGGGGGCACCAGGAGGTGAATCTCGGGGGCACCAGGGGGGCACCAAGACATAAATTTGGGGGGCACCAGGGGGGGCACCAGGAGGTGAACTGGGGGGTACCGGAGCTCGTCCCAGATGGCACCAGCAGCTCGTACTGGGAACACTGGGAACACTGGGACACGCACCAGACCCCTGTGCCCATCCCCCACCGCGGGGACACGGCCACCAGTACGGACCAGTATGGACCAGTATGCACCAGTACACACCAGTATGCACCAGTACAGACCAGTACGGACCAGTACAGACCAGTATGGACCAGTATACACCAAAACCCCCCTCCTATCTCCTGCCCCTCCACCCCTCCCCCACCTCCATTGGCCCCTCCCCCTCCTGGTTGTCCTTTCACCTGTTGGCTCCGCCCTCTTTTGTTGGCCCCTCCCCCTTTTTATTTGCCCCTCCCCCACCAGTTGGCCCCTCCCCTTTAAATTTGCCCCTCCCCCACCAGTTGGCCCCTCCCCTTTTATTTGCCCCTCCCCCACCAATTAGCCCCTCCTTTTTAAATCTGCCCCTCCCCCACCAGTTGGCCCCTCCCATTTCCCACTGGCCCCTCCCCTTTAAATTTGTCCCTCCCTCACCAGTTGGCCCCTCCCCTTTTTATTTGCCCCTCCCCCTTTTTATTTGCCCCTCCCCTTTCCCCACTGGCCCCTCCCCTTTTAATTTGCCCCTCCCCTTTAAATTTGCCCCTCCCCCACCAGTTGGCCCCTCCCCTTTTTATTTGCCCCTCCCATTTCCCACTGTCCCCTCCCCTTTTTATTTGCCCCTCCCCCACCCCAGCAGCCCCTCCCCCACCTGGTTGGCCCCTCCCCCGCCCCCCTGCCGGCCCCTCCCCCACCTGGTTGGCCCCTCCCCCACCCAGTTGGCCCCTCCCCCCCGGTTGGCCCCTCCCCCCCCCGGCCGGCCCCTCCCCCACCTGGTTGGCCCCTCCCCCGCCCCCCCTGCCGGCCCCTCCCCCACCTGGTTGGCCTCCATCCACCTGGCCGCCTCCTGCACGTGATGGAATTCCACGAAGGCGAATCCGCGGCTCTGACCTGGAACGGGCCACGGGGGATGGGGGGCACCCATGGGTGCTCTGGGACCTCCCCCACCCCGGGGACGCGCTGGGGTGGGGGCAGGACACCCATGGGTGGTGCTGGAACCCCCGGGGGACCCCCAAGGTGAAGCCTACAGGTGCTCCTGGTGCCCCTCTGGAGTCTGGGTGCCCCTCGAGGTTGGGCTCAGCACCCCTGGGTGCTCCTGGGGACGGGTCTGGCACCTCTGGGTGCCCCTTGGGCTGAAGACGGGGACGGGTCTGGTGTCCCTGGCTTTGGATCTGGCACCCTTGGGTGCCGCTAAAGCCGGGCTCAGCACCCCTGGGTGCCCCTAAAGCCGGGCTCAGCACCCCTGGGTGCTCCTAAAAAGGGACTAGCACCCCTGGGTGCTCCTAAGAAAAGGACAAGCACCCCTGGGTGCTCCTGAGGAGGTAAAAAAGCACCTCTGGCTGCTGCCTAAGGACAAGAGTGGCACCCCTGGGTGCCCCTAAAATGGGATTAAAACCCTGGGTGCCCCCCGAGTCTGGTGCAGCACCCCTGGGTGCTCCTGAGAAGGGAACAAGCACCCCTGGGTGCCCCTAAAGAGGAAACTGACACCCCTGGGTGCCCCTAGGGAGGGGATCAGCACCCCTGGGTGCTCCTGAGGAAGAGACAAACACCCCTAGGTGCCCCTAAAGATGACCTTGGCACCCCTGGGTGCCCCTAGGAAGGGTATGAGCACCCCTGGGTGCCCATATGGAATGGACAAGCACCCCTGGGTGCCCCCCAAGTCTGGTGCAGCACCCCTGGGTGCCCCTAGAGATGAGATTGGCACCCCTGGGTGCCCCTAGGGAGGGGACAAGAAGTCCTGGGTGTTCCTAAAGACACTATGAGCACCCCTGGGTGCTCCCTAAAGATGAACCTGGCACCCCTGGGTGCCCCTGGGGAAACGATGAGCACCCCTGGGTGCTCCTGAGGGGGGAACAGGCACCCCTGGGTGCTCCTGAAGAAGGGACAGGCACCCCTGGGTGCCCCTGGGGAATGGTACCAGCACCCCTGGGTGCCCCTGGCAATGGGAACAGCAGCCCTGGTGCCCTCCCAGTCCAGTGCAGCACCCCTGGGTGCCCCTAAAGATGGGACCAGCACCCCTGGGTGCCCCCTAAGCCTGGCAGATCCATCCCTGCCTGCCCCAGTGGAGGGGACCAGCACCCCTGGGTGCCCCCAGTTCCAGCACAGGACCCCCGGGTGCTCCTCGGAAGGGATCGGCACCTCTGGGTGCCCCTAAGGGTCGCAGCAGCACCCCTGGGTGTCTTCAGGAAGAGAACAGACACCCCTGGCTGTCTCTGAGGAATGTGAGCAGCACCCCTGGGTGCTCCTAGAGATGACACTGGCACCCCTGGGTGCCCCTCGGGAGAGGATCAGCACCCCTGGGTGCTCCTAGAAAGGGAACAGGCACCCCTGGGTGCCCCTGGGGATGGGACCAGCACCCCTGGGTGCTCCTGAGAAGAAGACAGGCACCCCTGGGTGCCCCTAAAAAGAATATCAGCACCCCTGGGTGCCCCTAGAAACGGGACCAGCAGTCCTGATACCCTCTGAGGTTTAGCACAGCACCCCTGGGTGCCCCCTAAACCTGCCAAAAGCACCCCTGGGTGCTCCTAAAGACAAGACTGACACCCCTGGGTGCCCCTAAAGATGGAACCAGAACCTGTGGGAGCTCATTGGAAGGGACAGGCACCCCTGGGTGCCCCCTAAGCCTGGCAAAAGCACCCCTGGGTGCTCCTTAGGAAGGGACCAGCACCCCTGGGTGCCCCTAGGAAACAGGACCACCCCCCAGGTGCCCCCTGGCATGGACAGGGATCCTCCCCCTCCAAGGGACCCGGATTTTAGGGTGCCCCCCACCCTAAGGAGAGCCCAGGTGAGGGGGGGAGGGGCTCAGGTGAGCAGGGGAGGGGCTCAGGTGAGGGGGAGGGGCTCAGGTGAGGGGGGGAGGGGCTCAGGTGAGGGGGAGGGGCTCAGGTGAGGGGGGGGAGGGGCTCAGGTGAGGGGGGAGGGGCTCAGGTGAGCGGGGGAGGGGCTCAGGTGAGCAGAGGAGGGGCTCAGGTGAGATGGGGGGGCTCAGGTGAGGGGGGAGGGGCTCAGGTGTGGGGGAGGGGCTCAGGTGAGATGGGGGCTCAGGTGAGATGGGGGGGCTCAGGTGAGGGGGGGAGGGGCTCAGGTGAGATGGGGGGCTCAGGTGAGGGGGGAGGGGCTCAGGTGAGGGGGGAGGGGCTCAGGTGAGATGGGGGGCTCAGGTGAGGGGGGAGGGGCTCAGGTGAGCAGAGGAGGGGCTCAGGTGAGGGGGGAGGGGCTCAGGTGAGGGGGGAGGGGCTCAGGTGAGCAGGGGGGGGCTCAGGTGAGGGGGGAGGGGCTCAGGTGAGCAGAGGGGGGCTCAGGTGAGGGAGGGAGGGGCTCAGGTGAGGGGGGAGGGGCTCAGGTGAGGGGGGGCTCAGGTGAGGGGGGAGGGGCTCAGGTGAGGGGGGAGGGCTCAGGTGAGGGGGAGGGGCTCAGGTGAGGGGGGAGGGGCTCAGGTGAGGGGGGAGGGGCTCAGGTGAGGGGGAGGGGCTCAGGTGGGGGGGGAGGGGCTCAGGTGAGGGGGGGGAGGGGCTCAGGTGAGATGAGGGGGCTCAGGTGAGCAGGAGGGGCTCAGGTGAGGGGGGGAGGGGCTCAGGTGAAATGGGGGGCTCAGGTGAGATGGGGGAGGGGCTCAGGTGAGGGGGGAGGGGCTCAGGTGAGCGGGGGAGGGGCTCAGGTGAGGGGGGGAGGGGCTCAGGTGAGATGGGGGGCTCAGGTGAGGGGGGGAGGGGCTCAGGTGAGGGGGGAGGGGCTCAGGTGAGGGGGGAGGGGCTCAGGTGAGCAGAGGGGGGGCTCAGGTGAGCGGGGGGGGCTCAGGTGAGCAGGGGGGGCTCAGGTGAGGGGGGCTCAGGTGAGGGGGAGGGGCTCAGGTGAGGGGGGAGGGGCTCAGGTGAGATGGGGGCTCAGGTGAGGGGGGGAGGGGCTCAGGTGAGCAGGGGGGCTCAGGTGAGGGGGGGAGGGGCTCAGGTGAGGGGGGAGGGGCTCAGGTGAGGGGGGGAGGGGCTCAGGTGATGGGGGAGGGGCTCAGGTGAGGGGGGAGGGGCTCAGGTGAGATGGGGGGCTCAGGTGAGCAAGGGGGGCTCAGGTGGGGGGGAGGGGCTCAGGTGAGCAGAGGGGGGCTCAGGTGAGGGGGGGAGGGGCTCAGGTGAGGGGGGAGGGGCTCAGGTGAGGGGGAGGGGCTCAGGTGAGGGGGGAGGGGCTCAGGTGAGCGGGGGGAGGGGCTCAGGTGAGGGGGGAGGGGCTCAGGTGAGGGGGGAGGGGCTCAGGTGAGGGGGGAGGGGCTCATGTGAGGGGGGAGGGGCTCAGGTGAGCAGGGGAGGGGCTCAGGTGAGCAGAGGAGGGGCTCAGGTGAGATGGGGGGCTCAGGTGAGCAGAGGAGGGGCTCAGGTGAGGGGGGAGGGGCTCAGGTGAGGGGGGAGGGGCTCAGGTGAGGGGGAGGGGCTCAGGTGAGGGGGGAGGGGCTCAGGTGTGTGGGGGAGGGGCTCAGGTGAGGGGGGAGGGGCTCAGGTGAGGGGGGAGGGGCTCAGGTGAGGGGGGAGGGGCTCAGGTGAGGGGGGAGGGGCTCAGGTGAGGGGGGAGGGGCTCAGGTGAGCGGGGGAGGGGCTCAGGTGAGGGGGGGAGGGGCTCAGGTGAGGGGGGAGGGGCTCAGGTGAGCGGGGGAGGGGCTCAGGTGAGACTCACCTGAGGATTTGTTGCGCATCAGCCGCACCTCACGGGGCTGCACCCCCTGCGCCTGCAGCTGCGCCCGGATCTGGGGGGACACGGGGACAGGGGGACACAGGGACATGTCAGGGGCAAGGTGACACCTTGGACATGGGGACACAGGGACATGGGACATGGGGACATGTCACCTGGGACAAGGGGACATGTTACCGGGGAAATGGGGACATAGGGACATGGGGACAAGGTGACATGTCACCTGGGACGTGGGGAAAGGGGACACGTCACCTGGGGCATGGGGATGTGGGGACATGGGGACAAGTTGATGTGTCACCTGGGACACGGGGATACGGGGACACATCACCTGGGACATGGGGACGTGGGGACACAGGGACATGTCACCGGGGACACAGGGAGACGGGGACAAGGTGATGCGTCACCTGGGACACGGGGATATGGGGACATGTCACCTGGGACGTGGGGACACGGGGACACGGGGACAAGGGGACACGTCACCTGGGACATGGGGACATGGGGACACAGGGACATGGGGACACAGGGACATGGGGACACAGGGACGTGGGACACATCACCTGGGACATGGGGACACAGGGACATGGGACACGGGGATGTGGGGACACAGGGACAAGGTGACACAGGGACATGTCAGGGGCAAGGTGACACCTTGGACATGGGGACACAGGGACACATCACCTGGGACACGGGGACAAGGTGATGTGTCACCTGGGGCACGGGGACATAGGGACATGGGGACAAGGTGACGTGTCACCTGGGACACGGGGACACATCACCTGGGACACGGGTACATGGGGACACGCCACCGTCACCTGGGACATGGGACAGGGCCTGGAGGGGACATGGGGCCATCATGGCAGGGGGCGGGGCCACAGGAAAGAGGGGTGGGGCCTGTTAAAAGGGGCGGATCCATCGCGACAGGGGGTGTGGCCTGTTAAAGGGGCGTGGTTATCACGACAGAGGGTGTGGCCTGTTAAAGCGGCTCCCTCACGTCGTTCTCGGTGGCCGCCTGCGGCAGCATCCGCAGCATGACGATGGTGCTGGCCCGCGGCTCCTCCTCGGCGCCCTCCCGGTAATCCTGGTCCCGGTAATCACCGTCAGCGCCGAACGGCAGCGCCGCAGCCTCCCGGGGCGGCTCCCGGGGCGGCTCCCGGGGCGGCTCCCGCTTCCGCGGGGGCTCCGAGTGCTCGTAGGACGCCTGGCACGGGGGGGAATGGGGATTGTCAGAGCCCTGCTCAATGAAAATTTCATTTTTTCTGTACTAAAAAATACTAAATTAGAGCCCCTGTCACTGAAAATTCACTTTTTTTATACTAAGAAATACTAAGTTAGAGCCCTTGTCACTGAAATTTCACTTTTTTTGTACTAAAAAATACTTAGTTAGAGCCCCTGTCACTGATTATTTCACTTTTTTTTGTACTAATAAATACTAAATTAGAGCCCCTGTCACTGAATATTTCACTTTTTTTATACTGACAAATACCAAGTTAGAGCCCCAGTCACTGAATATTTCACTTTTTTTATACTAACAAATACTAAGAGCCCCTGTCGCTGAAAATTTCACTTTCTTTGTACTAACAAATACTTAGTTAAAGCCTTTGTCACTGAATATTCCACTTTTTCTGTACTAACAAATACTTAGTTAGAGCCCCTGTCACTGAATATTTCAGTTTTTTATACTGACAAATACTAAATTAGAGCCCCTGTCACTGAAAATTTCACTTTTTCTGTACTAACAAACACCAAGTTAGAGCCCCGTCACTGAATATTTCATTTTTTTGTACTGACAAATACTAACTCCCAAAAAACGCAGCGTTTAACCTAAAACTGTAAAACAAACTTCCAAAATTAAATAGTAAAGCTAAATAGTAAACTAAATAGTAAACAAATACTAAGTTAGAGCCCCTGTCACTGAATATTTCACTTTTTTTGTATTAACAAATACTTAGTTAGAGCCTCTGTCACTGAATATTTCAGTTTTTTTGTACTAACAAATACCAAGTTAGACTCTCTGTCACTGAAAATTTCACTTTTTCAAATACTAAGGTAGAGCCCCTGTCACTGAAATTTCACCTTTTTTGTACTAACAAATACTAAGTTAAAACCCCTGTCACTGAATATTTAACTTTTTCAAATACTAAGTTAGAGCCCCTGTCACTGAATATTTCACTTTTTTTGTACTAACAAATACTAAGTTAGAGCCCCATCACTGAATATTTCACTTTTTCTTACTAACAAATACCAAGTTAGAGCCCCTGTCACTGAATATTTCACTTTTTTGTACTAACAAATACTAAGTTAGACCCCCTGTCACTGAAAATTTCACTTTTTTTGTACTGACAAATACTAACTCCCAAAAAACGCAATGTTTAACCTAAAACTGTAAAACAAACTTTCAAAATTAAATAATAAAGTTAAAATAATAAACATAAAAGATAAATAAAACTCTGCAATATCGCACAGCAAAAAGCTTGAACTTAAATGTTTTAAAATATAGAACTAACTAAATAACTTTTAAAACAAAAGCTAAATTTCTTCACCTTTTTGCCTGTAAATTTAACTAATGTTTTAAAATCAAACAAAAAAAATCCACATTATAAACTAGTATGAGTTAATTATCCAGTTAAAAATTTATAAATTCAAGTATACTTTTTTAATTACAGGTCTTATCTTTGAAACAACCTATAAAAATTACTTTTAATACGCTGCATTTGTTTCATGTAGGTTTTTATGTATTTTATTATGTTATTCTTTATATTGTCAGTTTATTATATAGTATATTTATATGTTTATTATGATTTTTGTTTAAATCAGGAAAATATTATTACAGTTACAAAATTATAATGGAAATAAACGCTAATAAATATATAAATCTCAATAAAAAACGCCTCCCCACACATTTAACAATGTAACAATATAACAATAAAATATAAAATAAAATAAAATATAACAATAAAACAAAAAAATATAAAATAACAATAAAATATAACAATAAAAATAAGGCTCAGGGGGGTCCCAGCACCCACCTGGGGGGGGGTCCCGGCAGCGGGGGGCCCCTCGGGGGGTCCCCCATAGCCACGATAGTCCATGTCGCGATAGTCGTGGTCCCGTTGGGTGCGGGGGGCGTCCTCGGACAGGGGTGGGGCACCCCCATAACGCCCCGTGCGGTCCCCACGGCCGCCCCTGCAGAGGGGGGGGTCAGCTGGGGTCCCCAGAGCTGAGGGACCCCCAAAACTGCACCCCGAATACTGGACAGCAAATCTGGACCCCAAATGTGCACCTCAAATCATGAACCCTAAATCTGCACCCCGAATCCTGGACAACAAATCCTGGACAACAAATCTGAACCCCAAATCATGAACCCCAAATCATGAACCCCGAAACTGCACCCCGAATCCTGGACAACAAATCTGAACCACGAATCTGCACCCCAAATCATGAACCCCAAATCTGCACCCCAAATCCTGGACAACGAATCTGGACCCCAAATCTGCAGAACAAATCCTCAACACCAAATCTGGACCCCAAATCTGCACCCCAAACCCTGGACAACAAATCTGGACCCCGAATCTGCGCCCCAAATCATGAACCCCAAATCTGCAGAACAAAATCCCGGACACCAAATCTGAACCCCAATTCCTGGACCCCAAATCTGCACCTCAAATCCTGGACAACAAATCTGCACCCCGAATCATGAACCCCAAATCTGCACCTCAAATCCTGGACAACAAATCTGCACCTCAAATCATGAATCCCAAATCCTGGACAACAAGTCCTAGACAGCAGATCTGGACCCCAAATCTGCACCCCAAACCCTGGACCCCAAATCTGCACAACAAAATCCTGGACACCAAATACTGACCCCGAATTTGCACCTCAAATACTGAACCCCAAATCTGCACCCCAAATCCTGGACACCAAATCTACACCCCAAATTCTGGACAACAAATCTGCACCCCCAATCTGGACCCCAAATCCTGGACCCCAAATCCAGACCCCAAATCTGCACAATGAGTCCTGGACCCCCAATGGTTCCTTCCACCCTCTGGAATCCCCAAAGTCCCCTCTGCCCTTAGGGGTCCCCAAATGTCCCCTCACCCCCTCAGGCCATCCCCAAATACCCCCTGAGGTGCCCCCAAATGTCACATCCCTCCCTGGTGTCACCTCCCCAAAATATTCCATTTAATTTAATTAATATTCCATTAATTTCATCCTCAAGAGCTGCCCAATGTTCCCCCCAGATCCCGAATTTTGGGGATCCCCAGGTTCCCCCCTCACCTGCGCTCGTACTCCATGGTGCCAGCAGCTGGGAGGGCAGAAACTGGTTGGACTGGGAGGAACTGGGCGGTTACTGGGACGGACTGGGTACAGTGGGAAGAGAACTGAATGAACTGGGATGGACTGGGAGGAACGGCTGGAAAATTTTATGGCAAACTGGGAAGGCCAGAAGGGGAACAAGGGGGAAATGGGAGATTGAACTGGGATAAACTGGGAGCCACTGGTCGCTGTGCAGGGGAGAAGGAGCAGACACGACCACCCTCACACCCCGCCCTAATTAACATAAAACCACACCTAATTAACACACACCACCCTTAATTAGCATACAAACACTCCCTAATTAACATACAACGCACCACCCCCTAATTAGCATTAAAATGCCAGCCCCGGGTCCCGCTCTCACACCCCCTCCCTCACAAACTGCACCGGGAGTTCCGGCCAGCCCCGCCGCTCCCGGTCAGCCCCGCCCCTCCCGGTAAGCCCCGCCCCTCCCGGTAAGCCCCTCCCATCCCGGTAAGCCCCTCCCATCCCGGCCGGGCCCGTCCCGCCCCTCACGGCGTCCCGACCTTCGCGGCCGCCGCCGCCGCCGCCGCTCCTCAGCACCAAAATGGCGGCGCCGCTCCCGCTCGGCCGGGCCCGACCCGCGCGCCCGCCCTCGCCGCGCTTCTATTGGTCGGTGCTCCCGCCACTCCGAAA